CGCCCTCATTGGTCGCGATGTATTCTGTGTTGCTACAGTGTTTCGTTTCATATCACAAGGAAGTTCCAAACTAAATGTTTTACACACAACTAATAACATAACTAACAGAAAACACATCTTTACCCACCTTTAGATAACATAACACAAGCGCAACATAACCTCACATTACGTGCAAACTTCTACGGTTTTAAAGTAGGTAAAAACTTTTTTAATTTCAAATATTTTTGAATGTTAAACTTTCGTATGAAAACGGCAAACTTTATCAGTTTGAATGAAGGCAGTTCCCTTGATATGTGTATACGTATGTATGTATGTATGTATGTATCTACCGGTGTGTAAATGGGGACCTATTAATTATAAGACGCACAGATTTAAGAAGTTTAAATTGAAATCATTTGTTAAATGAGACTCCTCGAGTCTTTTGTAGAAGATTGATTTATTTAATTTATGAGGTGTTTGTTTATTTTTCTATTGATTATGTTTTTTTTATGGGATAAGTCGGTAAACGAGCAGACGGATCACGTGATGGTCAGCAATCTGCGTCGCCCATGGACACATGGAACACCAGAGGCGTTACAAGTGCGTTATTGGTGTTTTGGGAATTTAAGGATTGTAGGGGATTTGGAAATTGGGGAAACTGGGGTAATTGGGCCTCGGGTAACCTCACTGTCATGATGAAACACAACGCAAGCGTGGTATCACTCTGGTCGAACCCGCTTTGTGCCAAAGCATGGCTCTCCCACATTTGTTTTCGGAAAGTTTAAGTAAAATATAATGGGTTTTCTGAGACAGGCATGTTTACAATAATACTTTGTTCAATCCGAGAATTGAACACGAGGCTTTTTGTTCAGTAGTTATACTTTCTACTTGAGCAACTATGGAGTAATAAAGAACTTTATCATCATCAACAGCCTGTAAATGCCTACTGCTGAGCAAAGCCTCTGCTCATACGGAGAAGGTTTGAGTATTAATCACCACGCTTGCCCAATACTGGTTCATCAACAGCCTATCGAATCCGCACTCTCATGCATGAGAAGCCTTTAATCCCCGGGTCACCACGACTATACGAACAAGAACTTAATTAAGAGTACCCCAAATAATGTAAGAAGTCAACCCTTCTAAAATGTTAAAAACAAAATAGCAAATTAATTTAGAGGTATATACTTAACAAATCCACTTATAGATTTCCAACCTTACATGATTGTAATAGACTTGAAAATTCATTGGCATAATGGAATAGGCTATACGAATAACCTGTTAATCATCTTTATTTAATTTCCAACCTTATCTTTTAGTACTAAGCAACCGAAATCCATTGACCAATCGGAGTAGGCCAAAGAGTTTGTACACAGCTTCAAGAAATCAATCTTAATCTTTTAGGTATAAGGACAAAAATCCCTTGATACTCCGCAGTAGGCTCTACAAAGTTTCGAAGTGCAAAACCATGTAGTTTGTCGTCTTATAACAGAGTCCTCATAAAAAGCTTGACAGCAATTCGTGAATTTGAACAAGGATGCAACATTATATTAATTAAGGAAGTTCTAATTATTAATTAGTGTTTTTTTGGAGGCATTTTTTGTTGATATTTTGTAAGTCACGAGGTTGGTTGGGTAAGGTGTTTATTTATTGTTTTTTATATTTTATATATTGGCTATTTATGGTATACTGTGTTATAGTGAAGGTCAGCCCACATAAGCTACAATATGAAAATAATAATAACTATCGTGAGGCATACTAAGGTAACTAAAAATAAAATAGCTGTGCACGCTGCTCATGAGGAAGAACCCCTCTGTGGTTCGAAACTAAGCGAGCTTTGCTCAGTTATGTATTCACGTGAGTAACCCGCGAGTCTTAGTTAATGAAAATAGTAGGTAATACTTGGATTTTTTTATTAACAACCCCGCCCAACTTCTCAAAACCGCTACATAAGCTGTAAGGCAGGATGTATAGTAGATGGAACCATGATAACAACGGAACACTGATGATGAATACTTGGATTATTAAAATTGTAATATCTATGGGACTTTTTTTTTGAGGGGGGAAAATCATCCAATGACTGCTCCCGCCCGGGTAAGGCGGGAGGAGTATCAGACTCTTACTGACTAAATACCACCCCGTTCCTACTCCTGCACTTCGAGCCGGAGCCCCGGTAACCCGTTAAGTCTTCCGCGGCTCCGTAATATCTATGGGACTAACGTCCAAATACTGAAGGGCTACTCTTTAACTTGTACTTAAATATCGTGCCATCTCTATCATTTTACAAAGAATTTGTAGAGACAGAACTATACTTAAGCGCGAATTAGAATTGAGCAATGTTTTGGCACATAACTGATTTATTTCATTACTAACTTCTGTCCGCGACTTCGTATGCGCAATCCCGTTTTCTCCGGTTCACGTAGGATTTTCAGGATTTTTCTGTCATAAGAATATTCCTGACAATAACAAACAAACAAAAAACTCAGCCAAATCGGTCGAGCCGTTCTCAAGTTATGGCGTGATAACGGGAAACGGGTTTCATTTATATATGTATAGATTCACATGATTGGATTTTCGTCACTTAATCGAAAACTTTCTTGTCAAAAGATAGGAGTATTAGATGCTATCAATGAAAACTAATTTTATGTATATACAACTAGCTTCTGCCCGCGACTTCGTACGCGCAATCCCATTTTCCCCCCGTTCCCGTTCGTGATTTTCGGTAAAAAGTAAAAAAAAAGTATTCTATAAAAAGTATCCTATGTCCGTCTCCTGATTCTAAGCTACCTCCCTGCCAATTTTCATCTAAATCGATTGAGGCGTTCTTGAGTTATAAATAGTGTAACTAACACGACTTTCTTTTATATAAGATAAGATATCACTTGGTCGCTTATTTCAGTTATAAGACCAAGCTTATTGCCAAACACAGAGAGAAAGTCGTTGATAGAAATATCAGAGAATTGAACAATTTACTAGTCAACCAAAACCCTTGAACCGAAACTAAAAAACAAGTAAAAATATCTTTAAAACCCATTAATTAATCCGTCTGCTTTTTATAGCTCGTTAGACGGTCATAATAAACCATTATAAATTTATTTAATGCCATAAACAACATACCACTCAACGAGGAAATTTGAATATTTAATTTTTAATTTGAGAACCCACCGCGGCTTGAATTATTATGGGGGATTCGCAAAAAATGCTCGTAGACATCTTTTTTGTTTTATGTTTTTTTTTTCAGGATATAAAGGGACTTATTTTTTATTATATTTTGCCTAATCGCTTCTATTAGAGAAGCAATATTGAGTTGTAAAGTAATTCTTTTGTTTTTTTTTTTGTAAAACAACATAACATAACGCCGTTTATCCCCGATGGGGTAGGCAGAGGTGCACACAGAAGTAACACCCACTTTTCACTATTTATGTTATGAGTCCCATGTAATAGGGGGTGAGCCTATTGCCTTATACCGGGCACATTTCCAGACTCCGTGCTACTACTGAGATTTTTTTTAAAACCCAGTAATATTTTGCCCGACCCGGGAATCGAACCCGAGACCCCTTGCCCGGCTGTCGCACTTGCGACCACTCGGCCATCGAGGCAGTCTACTACATACAACATACTCCTAGTAGTAAAACAACACAGTCTCATATCTACTATAATTTTCTATTTTCTATTGTACTATTGGACCGTTTACAGACATACAAATTCAGACACACACATCTGACACAGACCTTGTGAAAAATGACACAAAACTTTAGTAGTCAATTGTTGAAATTCATTTAAATATGATAGTAGACAAAGTCAAAGTCATTTGTGTCAGCGTGGAGTTGTCATGCTCACTCAAAGGTCTCATTGGCGGTGGCGCGTGCAGTGGATCGCTCGATTCCCTACAATATGGTTGAGTTGGGCGGTGCTGGTGTACGTGTCATGTTCGTGAACGGGCGCCGTCAACTGGGACTGGTCAGCCCCAGACTGTATTATTTATTGTCTATAAGGTTATTTTCTTTTTCGATCACGTTACATTGTTATCGCACAATCCAAAACAAAACTATGTGACTAGAGAATTGTATTGTGAACCTGATTGAAAAAGAGTAACCTATGGAGTTTCTTGCTCGTACTTCTCCATAGGAATCTACACCTTGGAATGAGCTACACTTTTAATTTTATTGTTGACGTTCAAAAGTGCCTTTCTGGTCTAAATGAAATAAATGATTTTGACTTTGACTTTGACATTGACAAAGTCAAAATCATTTATTTCCATTAAACCAAGAGGGCACTTTTGAACATCAGATGAGATATAAAGTGTCAGTCAGTCTGTCGATCAGTCCTCTAGTGACACATTGCTGTCTGAATGGATGTTGATGACTCCGATATAAACACGTGAGATACCAGCTAGGACATTGGCGTCACGAATCTAGATAATGGTGACATTGACCTGAATTTGGTATTAGTCATGTTTGTATTGTTACGTTATCAGTCTCAAGTTCAAAGCCTCACATCTTACAGATAACGATCTACTTGGTCTTCATATTATGACCTTAGCACCCGTTTTCATTAACTTCTCTTAAATTTTAAGGAACCCCTTCGTGTGAGTGAGGCTACCGGATGCCCAATTACTTCCCCCCCTTTCCCCAATCCCTGAATCTCCAACAATCCTCAAATTCCTAATCCCAAAAGGCCGGTAAAGCACTTGTAACGCCTCTGGTGTTCCAGGTGTCCATGAGCGACGCCGATGGCTTACCATCAGGTGATCCGTCTGCACGTTTACTGGCTTATCCCATAAAAAAACCCCTGAGCTGACATAGGTGACATTTAATTTTTCACCAACCTCTAATAGTGATAATTAACAGTACAGGCAGGGGGTTAGTTTAGGTGCTCCCTCATGCTAAGGAACCCTTATCTAAAATGACCATAGTTCTAATAACTTGAACACAATATAAAATAATTACATAAGTATTGTGACCCTTGGAGGCTTTCTAAAACCAAACCAATTCTATTTCAACTTACCCCCTCATCTTCCACAGCCGGACCCCGTCTGCCACGGCGACTGGTCATGCAAGGAGTTCACCAGGACGGTCTACCCGTGGGTGGTATCCATCTTCGTGACAAATGACGGTGCAGACAGTCAGTTCAGTTACTACTGTGATGGCGCACTGCTCACTGAGAAGGTTATTGTCACTGGTAAGCATTGAGTTCAACTACATAATAGTGAGGGATGATCTATCTGCTTGGATTCAGGTAAGGCTTTAAACTGAGACTAGGTCCAGTAACGTGGCGTTGGCGGGTTCCCTGTATACAAATTTGTTTGGGGCCCTTATGAAGGGTAGAAATTTCTCATATGAGAAAACAATTTATGCATAAAATATTAATAATTTATATGAAAACTTTCCCTGTGTCCAAATTACCGGACTAATGTCGGAATACTCAAACGCTACTCAATTTTAAGCCGCGCTTAAGTATAGTTCTGTCTCTACAATTTTTTTGTAAAATGACAGAGATGGCAAGATATTTCAGTATTCAGTATATGATTACCTATTTTAATTTTTCGAAAGTTTCTGCTATTCTTTGAAAGCATGCTTTACGGGGAAAATGCCGTTTATTTTGAATTTATTGATTACTGACATTAAATAAATATTGGCAAGTATTATGAATTTTTGTTAAGGCACTTTGGAGGCCCTCGTAGTCTGTGGGCCCAGTATAATTGACACGGCAGCTACGGCGCTAGTTACAACCCTGACTACCTACCGAGAGATCGGCAGCAATACCCTTCAAATTTGTGGTGAGCTGTGATTGTTTTGAGGGAATCTTGCTCCAAAAACCAATTTTAGGGATTTTCAATTTTAAAATTCTTCACAGTAGCGTTGAATGCGGAATTGAGTGTAGTTATGTGTTAATAATTAGGACGCACTTGTCTTATAATAAGAGAAGAGGAGATTATTACTAGAACTTGTCCCTAAATTTTGACCATATACCGGTAACGCATTTGTAACTCATATGTTGTTATGGGTCTAAAAGCGATACTGATCGATTACCATAATCTTCTCGATTCAGGAATCCTTGGCTCGGCACTTTCAATTTGTGAACTATTGAATTAAAGAGTCAGTTCCTGGTGTTCAAGTACTATCTACCACAAGCACCTTTAATGACGAAGAACTCTTGGAAATGTCATTAAGAGGCAAAGCCTTGCTAAGCGGAAGGAGGTGTAATCAAATTAGTACCTCGCCTCGCCTCGCCTCGTCTCGCCTTGTCGGAGGCAAAGCAATGAGAAAAATACAAAATGGCGCGAGGTAGAAAGAGCGGGATTTTAATTTCGAGTCGTTTTTAATAAAACTTTTTGTAAAAGAAGTTTCGTTTGACCCCTGCTCTTGTAATGATAGTAAATTGCATTTTTTGGATCGTATGATTCCGATTATAGTAGCCAGTACAGTACGATGACCTAAGGCCAAAGGCGCAGGCGCTCCATTGGGAATTGTTCAGTAGCCTGTTTGACGTGTGCCTATTTTGTGTTTTTTAATAATTTTAAAATGACTTTTGTACAGACTATTGTGTGCCCAAAGGGCGGGATATGGCTGATCTACTAAATTGTATATATTTAAGACCTGTATTTTGTACAAACCTGTTCGAATCCACAATAAAGAAATTTGAATTTGAATTTAAACATTTGCAAAACCAAGGAGGTCTTCTTCATCAGGTCAGGTCAACAAATAAACCTTTTGCTCAGAAAACAGTCAATTTGTATTTGTATTGATTCATTCAGGAAAACAACAGTAATTTAATTGGGAGAATTGGGGACTGAGTATGATATTCAGTATGAAAGAAAGTAGAAAGAAAGAAAAAACATTTATTTGACAATTAACACACACGATTATAAAAAATAAAAATACAGATATATAAACAAAATACTAATAATAAACTTAAAAGAATAGACATTAGAACAAAAAAAAATCACAGTGTAGTAACAAAATAATAATACAATAAAACAGAATTTTGAAAATACAAAAAAAACAAAGAAAAAATAATCAATTTGCGCGTGCTCATGCCAAAAGGGCCTCCACCTCAGCATATAGTTGGACGTTTCTGCCCAACGCTGATTTATAATTTATGACATACTCTGATTTGATGTTCATAATAACCAAGTCGACTGTGCTGTTCCAGGTGCCAGATGCATGTTCGCTAACAACAGCGCATGGGATTCTGAAAACGTGCTGGTGTTCCTCGGGAAGGTCAACCTGCAAGCTTTTGGAGGCAAAGAGAAAGTACACAAGGTAGAAAAGAAATGGAAAATTAAATTGATACAAACTGGCCGATGTTAACGTCTTTGGGGGTTTTTTTTTAAGGGTGGAAAATCATTGAATCGCTGCTCCCGCCTGGGTGACGCGAAAGGGAGTGTCAGACTCTTACTGACTAAAAACCACCCCGTTCCTTCTCCTGCACGTCGAGCCGGAGCCCGGTAACCCGTTAGGTACTCCGCGACTCCGAATCGGCATCGGCTCTATTGGGCCCCATCTGGGGTGGTCTGATGGCTCTTTGAGGCGCGCGCGGAACGCGACGCGCCGTACGCTCGGGTCTGTTTCTGGTCGGACGGGGAATCACCCATGCTCGCCGTCCACAGGCCCGCGCTTACGGTGGCCGGAGATCGTCCCGCGATCCCCGACGCCCGGTATGTCCTTCGCGATGGCTGGGTTGCGAGGAGGCAGCGCTTTGCTGCCTCACGCGTCCCGCCTCCTCCTTAGCTAGCATGACTGCTTCGCAAAAGGAGGAGGTAGAGGCTTATGTTCAGCAGAGAACATCTTGTGCCTGATATGATGATGACAATCTTCTTCTCGATCGCTTGCTTCATTTCTGAAGGTCGTGTCCCTGAAAGGCTTTCATTTGTCTCTGTGTTATTTCCCTCCATCTTGTCCTGTTTTCGGCTTCTCTCAGGGTTTTCGTAACAAACAGTCTATCATCCACTGGACTGGATGATGGCAATACAAATGATTAAATACAAATCTGATAAAACATTCACAATTTTACATTCCATTAATAATGTATGAAGTCTGAACTTCTTACATACAAATTACACGTGAGTGTGATTAAGTTTCACTGATGCCAAACTTGTCGATCAAAGCCATAAATATGCTTTGATAGCGACCTAAGTCTTTTATCCCCGAAGGGGTAGGCAGAGGTGCACATTACGGCACTTAATGCCACTGTACAATGTAACACCCACTTTTCACTATTTATGTTATGAGTCCCATGTAATAGGGGGTGAGCCTATTGCCATATACCGGGCACATTTCCAGACTCCGTGCTACTACTGAGGTTTTTACAAACCCAGTAATACTTTGCCCGGCCCGGGAATCGAACCCGATACCCCTTGCCTGACCTGACAGTTGTACTTGCGACCACTCGGCCAATGAGGCAGTCAGCAGTTCATCAGCTAAAGGTTCTCCTTAAATCACTTTTCCCCATCTCCTCGTCACTAAATTTATATACAAGGTGTAGTTTTGAAACCGTGTCATTTCTCGGGGGCATGTCACAGAAGTCATAAAGGTCCAATATAAGAGCAATTTTCGGGCCAATAGTTAAAAATACGGCTATAATAAATCGTTTAAGTTCGACAGTATTTCAGAATAAGCGACAGCAATGTTTCTTATTGGAGTTTTATGGAATTAGGAATAATATCAATTACGTATTTGAGTTTGTGTGTGTTGAGCCGCGTTATAAAGCTAGTTACGTTATAAGACGGCACGTGTAGTTCGCACTTACGGATTTCCGTAACTTACAGAAAATTGAAAAATATTTACCTACAATTTTTTTTATTGATTCGGACTCAGAATCGATAGCCGAGTTTCCTTCTATAAAATGACGCGGCTTTAAAACAAAACCTTGTATATGTGTTGTGTTACAGGTAAAAACTCTAATCCTGCATCCAAACTTCACGACAGGAGCTAGTGGAAGGGTGATGAATGATATAGCACTACTGGTGCTGGAGGTACCTGTGGAGTTCAAGGACAACATACAGTCTGCTTGCATTCATCAGGAGAACAGCCTCCTGGTAGCTGCGGTGAGTTCTACTCTATTGCTTTGGGATAAAGTCGGAAATCTTTTGAAAGAAATCAGTTGGTAAGTTTGGTTCCTATGTATGTCGTTCTATTACACTTGCAGAAAAAAACTATGTAACTAGAGAATTGTATTGTAAACCTGATTGAAAAAGAGTTACCTATGGAGTTTCTTGCTCGTTCTTCTCCATAGCAATCTACACCTTGGAATGAGCAAATAGCTTTACTTTTAATTTTTTTGTTGTTGACGTTCAAAAGTACTTTTCTGGTCTAATTGAAATAAATGATTTTAATACTTTAACTGCCAAGTTTAAAATGGTGAAAGTCAAACCTCCACTAGCGTCAGGCACCGGTGACTGACGTGGCGCTCTAAGGGTTAACTTTGACTTTGACTTTAAAGGGATAATGAATTATTATGCAAAATATAATGCAATGAAAACATTGGTTATTTTTTTGTTTGCTTGTTTGCATTTAGACTCCGAAACAACTGAATAGAATTTAAAATTGAAAGTCTTTGTAAGATGTTGCTACAAAAAGCTGTCCATGTTATTTCACATAGGCTACTTTTACAGAAGTTCACAAAACTATAAATGAGGATTATTATCATAATAATGTTTTGAAACCCTTGTAAAAAGAGCGAGATTCTGTCACCAATTCTAGACGACCTACTTAAAGCGCTTAATTCTTTAGGTTCATTAAAATAATTCACCTAGTTCTAGACCTACAAAACGAAATTCCCATCAGAGTTACAATCAGGCAAATAAAACAAGATAAAACTACTTTATTATACCTTCGTGGTTACATTTAAACCATAGCATTTAAACTGGGAAGCGGCGGGCAAATAATTAATTTTGTCGTACGTTGTAGGAATCTCTAATGAGTCACAAGTCATACAATTCATTCTGGATATCATAATGGCTACTGGCCTGGTTATATTGCATTAAAATTGAGTTGGAGGCAAATAAGTTGTGATCAGAGAGGGATGTTCCATAAGTTTACAAGGGGGAAGGTATGTAGAAGGAATCTTTCCTGCTCCTAGGACATACTTTTTTAAAAAGAGTAACGAATGGAGTTTCTTGCTCGTTCTTCTCCATTCGAATCTACATTTTGGAATGAGCACCTAGCTTCACCTAGTTTCACTGACGGACTGACTGACAGACTATTATTTATTTTGTATTTGTTGACGTTTTAAAAGTACCAAACTATGGTTTAATTGAAATAAATGCTTTGACTTTGACTTTGACTTAGGTAGGAAAGGTTTCCTGGTTAAGCAATAATTAAGGTATAGCACTATAGACACATTAAAAATAATTTAAATTTACTATTTGAACTACCTAGTACGTTTGATGAAACTAAACGCTTGTTTGTCGTTTGACGGACAATAATACTACTAAATTGAGGAGGTTATGTTTACACTGTCATCACTTGGTAGACGTGAGGATTTCTATTTTAACTACATAATACGTAAAGACTTTTCCATTTTTACCACTTTATTCAAATGATTGAATTTAGATCTTGTGTTGTAGTTTGTTGCCTAGTTGTCGTCGGTAAGCCAGTAAAATTTTCTGTGCTAGTAATAATACCTAAGTGCTGTTTAATTTCAAAATGTCTGATATAAACAGAAAGAAACCTTTCTCGATTTTAGAAAAGGAGTTATTTTTAAGTATCATCCTAGATTATGACACAATTTTAACAGTCAAACAAACTAATGCTACGAGTGCAGTAAAAAAGTAGCATGCTGCATGCAAGCATGGGCAGTTAGTAACTGGTAAAGTGGACTTATAGGTAGTCCTCTTTGAGTTTCTGATTGTAAAGTATGTATCTGTAATTCGCGGTAAAATCACATTCTACACAGCACTATTTGAGAAACGATATATCTCTTTATAAAAAAATCTTCAGATAAATCATGAAATGGATCTATATCACGACACTTACTTTTGATTTCTAGATTAGATAACGTGAATCCCCTCTAATATATCATTGTCTATATCGCCTACAATAGCAAAAGTAGCTTCAATGCTTTCCATTCTAAAATAGCTCACCAACTAAACAAAGAAATGACGAACAATGTAATACTACGCGGGAGAAAAATTCGCTCTTCTTATTGCTTAAGTAAAGGAATCGGTGACTAGTGCTCGGCTAAGAATTTAAACATTTGACAGTTATATTCTTAAGCAATTTCTTAACTATAAAATTAAAATTGTTACTTTTGCTTAAGTACCTAATGACTTTTACTTGTCTATAAATACGGGGGTTAGTGTCTAAGTGTTAGACCATTTGTATGTACTGAAACAAACTTAATATTTCCTTATGTTTGCAGGCCACAGCATGGGGTGCGAACGGTCTGCTGATGCCGATCTTCTTCAACAATCAGAGAGGAGACCACTGCTATGACATGGACGAAAACGTCTTCTGCGTCACATATGGAAATGGTAATATTGTTTGTTGTTCATTGGTATGAAGGAGAAGTATGTTACATAACTTTTTTTTATTGCATAAACCGGTAAATGAGCAGACGGAGCACCAGATGGTAAGCAATCGGCGTTATTCGGAGTCGCGGAGAACCTAACGGGTAACCGGGGCTCCGGCTCGACGTGCAGGAGAAGGAACGGGGTGGTTTTTAGTCAGTAAGAGTCTGACACTCCCTTCCGCCTCACCCAGGCGGGAGCAGTCATTCGATGATTTTCCCCCCTTAAAAAAAAAAAAAACAATCGGCGTTCCTCATAGACACTTGGAACACCAGAGGCGTTACAAGTGCGTTACCGGCCTTTTGGGGATTAGGAGTTTGAGGATCGTTGGGGATTCAGGGATTGGGGTAATCATCATCATCAGCCTGTATTCGTCCACTGCTGGACATAGGCCTCTCCTATGGCACGCCACTGAGCTCGGTCTTCAGCTCTTCTCATCCAACCACTGCCAGCCACCTTACAGATGTCGTCACTCCACCTAGCTGGAGGGCGCCCTACACTGCGTTTGCCTAGACGCGGTCTCCACTCTAGAACACGTTTACCCCAACGGTTATCGGTTCTTCGACAAATGTGACCGGCCCACTGCCACTTCAGCTTACTGATCCTTTGGGCTATGTCGATAACTTTGGTTCTCTGTCGGATCACTTCGTTTCGGATTCGATCCTTCAGAGAGACTCCGAGCATAGCCCTCTCCATAGCTCGCTGCGCGACCTTAAATTGGTGGACCAGTCGCACTGTCAGTGTCCACGTCTCGGCTCCGTATGTCATTACTGGAAGGACGCACTCGTTGAAGACTTTTGTCTTCAGGCTTTGCGGTATCTGAGACGAGAAGACTTGATTAAGTTTTCTATATGCTGCCCAGCCAAGCTGTATCCTTCTACGGGCCTCCTTTTCGAAGCTGTTCCTACCTAACTGCAGGGTTTGTCCCAGATAGATGTATTCCTGTTGGGGTAATTGGGTTTCCATATTTTTAGTTTTTCTAACCATGTCTTTATTTTTACAGACGTAGCCTTATGCCCAAGTTTCGGCGGAGTATTCGTATCAAAGCAGACTGAGCGATGGTGTCTCACCGGCATATACTACGGGGACCCGGCAGAGAGAGGCATCTGTTTCAATAAAAACGTATTCTACACCTCATTGTACAACCACTTGAAATGGATCGATGACACTATTGGAATGATAAAAAAAGCTTATTTGTAGATTTTGTGTTTTATTTTTTTTCTATTCCTTGAAAGATATGAATGAAGGCATTAAGTGCCGTAATGTGCACCTCTGCCTACCCCTTCGGGGATAAAAGGTGTGATGTTAAGTTATGTAAAATATGAATCAAAACAATTTTGGTTGCCTAAAGAAAGGTTTTCATCATCATCATCATCAACAGCCTATAAATGCCCACTGCTGAGCAAAGCCTCTTCTCACACGGAGAAGGTTAGAGCATTAATCACCACGCTTGCTCAATGCGGGTTGGCGATTTCAAACTTATAATTAGAAATTATAAGTCCAGGTTTCCTCACGATGTTTTTCCTTCACCGTTTGTCAGTGGTGTCTAAATAATCTTAGAAAGTACATATAACTCGGAAAAAGTTGGTACTTGCCGTTGGTAGGTTTCGAACCCACACCCTCATGCATGAGAAGTGGGCGTCTTAAACCTCCGGGCCACCACGACTTCGAAGAAAGGTTTTAAGGTTACCAATTTTTTTATGGCATAATCCGGTAATCTAGTCGACGGAGCACGTTATGGTAAGCAATCGGCGTCGCCCATGGACAGGAGGCATTACACGTGCGTTACCGGCCGTTTGGGAATTAGGAATTTGAGGATTGTTGAGGATTCAGGAATTGGGGAGGTTGGGCAAGCGGAGGGGCAATTGGTCTGATAACCTCACTCATTCGACGGAACACAACGCAAGTGTTGTTTCACGTCGGTTTTCTGCTCGGCCGTGGTATCACTCCGGTCGAGCCGGCCCATTCGTGCCATTTTCACCAGTTATGTGATGAGCGAAGCCTGTTACCAGCACTGTTCCACACTTCGTGTATAAGCGAGATGTCACACATCTTGTTACACACTGTATTGTAACAATGTATCAAATTATCATCCCCATTAGCAAGTTAGTGTATTTATAATCGCAATCACGGCACAGAATGCTTTTTATTTTACATATATTTTTAAACGTTGCCCCACACTAGGATTTTGTACTCTGGATGCGTTTACAAATGTACAAGTTCACATACACATGACACCCAGACCCGAAACCACACTTTGTGGATCACACAAAGAGTTGCTTCGTACGGGAATCGAACCCGCCACACGTTGCACGGCAGCTGGTTGCCCAGTCACCGCATCAACATACACTATAGACAATATAATCCACCACAGTACAAAATAAGACATCACAGTAGGTAAACATTTATTTTAAAATAATAAAATAAATTATAATTTTATCGATGATAGACAAATCGATTAGTAGCCTACGTACATAGAATCGATTACTATGTTAATGTGAGCGACTCGATTGTTTCTTTATTGTAATGGTTTTATTACACGACAGTAATGGACGTTGGGATTTCCTTTAATAAAATTAGCATTTAACATTGCGCTTGGTACCTTCGTAGGGAAGGTAGGAAGACAATGAATACATATGATGAAGACGAATTGTGACAAAATAAAAAAAAAATTAAAAACTCAAATAGCTATAATACAGGATGTTTAGATTTTTGTTTGTATTTTTCTGATATATTTTGTAATTTTGTCGATCACTTGGTCCCAGTTGGCCGTTGAATACTGGGACATATACAGGTATATGGGAATCAGATCCCATAATCACAACAATAAGAAGGCACAAAAACTATAGAAACTAAAGTTGATGATGCGGGCGGTCTCTAAATAAGGAACAAAATATAACATTTCCTATATTGTCACACAGCTCATATTGTTTAACTGAGACCTTTTGTCAACTGAGACCTTATCGATCACAAGGGCTCAGTCTATGATTAGGACAATGTATTACTATATTTCAGTTTCAAAAATTGTCAGCAATACCATGGAGTTTAGTATTTGTAAAGTTATTAGAATCAAACTACGACTGCGCGATTGCACCACAATGCGTCGTGGATTCGATTTCTACATTATTAATTGTGTGATCCACAAATCAAATTATTAAATTATATTTCTAAAATCACTGTACACGAACACAGGAGAAAAATATAATTACAGTATAACTTCAAAAAAAAACTAATTAATAAAAATTGAATCACCACTAAACACGTCACTTCTTTAAACGTCAAAATAAAAAAATCAAGATGGCGCCGACCACACCGCTACGTCACACGGAACCTCAACTCAACGAACAAAATGCTCTTCCTGATACCCTTTCCCAGTTCCGTATAAACAAGAGCTCAGACTTTTATCAACAAGCTATTAATATGCATGGGGTGTAGGCAGACATGTTTGAAATATGGCCGATGGATGCATAGTGAATACAGATGGTATAACCATGCTTCATTTATTCTGTACCCGATATTGAAGACGTCAATAGTTTGTGTAGACGAGCGATTTTTTGATGCGACTTTTTTATAAATAATGACGACCTGCCCCGGCTTTGCTCAGTTGCAATATGCATGTATTATTCATGTAAATCTTTCTTAAGGATCACTCTATCTATTAAAAAAAACCGCATCAAAATCCGTTGCGTAGTTTTAAAGATCTAAGCATACATAGGGACAAACAGATGACGGATAGCGACTTTGTTTTATACTATGCAGTGATGATGAGTGATACGTTGACACATTTAACGATTAAACGCCTAATAATAGGTGAAACTGGACAATTGATATGTGACATCCACTATAAACCAGCTATGTTATGACTCCCATTAAATATTGGCATACATCAAACACGATTTGTGCTGCGAAATTGTCAAAAACTCTATGATTATAGTATTTAAGCGCTTTAGGGATTAAACTTGCGACAACCTACTTGGCAGTCATGCAGACACTCGATTTTACTAATTGCATTTTATTAATTATACAATTAATGAATCTATTTCCAATTGTATTGATTGGAAACTTACGAAATATTTTGAAATTATAAAGACGTTTATTTCTGCGGTCTGTACATCAAATTACAAACACTTCTCCTCAAAATTAGAAATTTATTTAATTAAGAATTCACCATAGTATAACAAACGTTGTAGCGTATAAATAATCAAGATTAACTCGTTGCTAATACCGGGTAGAGGGCTTACTTCGCGAGGAAAATCAGTAAATCTTTCAATTATATCTTACCAAGAGATTTTCTTATTAATATATATTGTATTGGGTTTTCCTCGAATCGGATTAGTTGGAGGATTTACTAGGTTTAACGGCTATATGATTTATTTAGTGTCGTGTAATTATTTATTTGTTATAAAAGGTAGTATTAATAACTGATAAATTAATTAATTTATATTTGTATAGAAATTATTTGTCTGCTAGTTGGTAGTTTCAATTTGGTAGTATTGTTTGACAATTGGGTCCATTTTGCAATAGTAAAAATATGCAGTACATTTTATGATTTCATTTCCAATAGATATTGACACGAATATCTAACGTGATCTCATAAATTAAGGCGCATTGCTAATGGCAACTTGATTTTCTGATTTATACGACAAACAGCAAAGAAATAAAGACAAAAAAGTCGCAGTCTATCTCAAAAATGTCGCACGTCTACAAAACCGATACTCAATAAGGGGACAATCAGGCCATTACGATTTTAAATGAACGCAATACTCAGTACTCGCATATCTTTGACACTAACCGGTACCATGTGGCTACGATTCCTTACTTTCTGCGTTTTAGTATCACTCGTCCTCATCGCAGTACTAAGCACCATTTATGGACGACCAGTGATCAACATTTTCTTCCGAAGATGCTGTTCCGATGACATTGAAAATGATCAAACGATCTTCGCCAATTTAAATGATAATTTTCTACGAGAAAGACTTGTCAGTGATGGGATATTTAGTGATAATGATTATGTTGAAGTGAGAGAAGTGAATGCAACTGAGTTTGGTGATATTGAGCTGAATGGTGATGTTAATTTTGATACTGTTGGTGATAATCAGACTGTTGTTAATAGAACTACTGGTGAGGCTCAGAACGTGTTTTGAAGTGAAGACTTTGTTGATTGATATAATGGATTAGTTGTTCAGTGTTTTGAAGAAGATGAAGCTAATGTAGTGAAAGGGACTAAATTTGGGAATGATTTTGGAACTACGATCGTTATTCTCACCGAATATTAGCTAGTTAAAGAAAATATTTATAAGATTTTGTTTGTTATTAGTCAAAGGGTTGATGCGAATAAAGAATCTCTTATACGTGTTCTGATAGTCAATGCAATTATAAATGTGATTAACGATGAAGGTCAAAGTAACACTAAGGATAATTACAATGAAGAACCTATATAATAGTGGCTACACTATATAATTATAAGACAATAGAATCGTGGTCTTGTCATTTATAAAGAGCTCCTGTTTGTGATACGCGTTTGTTACGAAATCAGTTTTGTGTCGGCAGTATGGGTATTTCCCGATTTGAGTAATTATTTATAAGATCTACACGAGAAAAGTCTTCTTTATTTAATGTGTCGAAACCTCTATCTATTATGGTTATTATTGCACATTTTTGAATGAAAATATACTTTAGCATTTCTGAATGTATTGTGGCATAACTGTAATAGTAGTACGATATACAGGACTTTTACATTGACATTAATGTCCTCTATAAGACTTTAGTACATTACTTTGCTCTTTTGTCTATAATTTCCATAGCCTCAGCAAGTTTAGGGGTAAAATTGGTCCGAGGACAGACGACCTTGCGAGCTAACGGAGCTCCGGCTTGAAGCAGTTGCAGGAACTGCGGAGGGTTTTAAGTCAGTACGGGTCTGACACTCCCTCTCGTGTCACCTTTTGATGAATCTCCCATCCAAATGGGATAATGAAATAATCATGACACAAGTAATGACTCAACATATAAATCATTGGATATTCCAAAATTGGTGACAGTTATTAATGGTGCTATTGTTTTTGATAGAAGCTGTCATTTTAATTGCAAATATTATACACACACACACCCAACAACAGCCTATAAGTAGCCACTGTTGATGTGTGCGTGTGTGTGTTTGTTTGATGTTACTATGGAATAAGTTATTACCATAATGTTATATT